GAAGTTTCATTGGTCTGGATACGATGCTTGATAATGGACGTCTGTGCGAGAGATGAGGAATGGGCATCAAAGAATCTCCTATGCTTTTGTAGCAAGGCAAGCAATTTATCTGTCTGTGAAGAGGTCAGCTCTGGACTAATAGTCGCAGCAAGAACAGAAACGCATGATGAACGTCCAATAGAAGGAAGCCATTGTTGAACAACGCTAGACCTGCAGCAAGGGCTATACTTCTTGCGAGGCAGCGTTCAGATGGTTGGACAAACACATCACCAGAGTCGATCACATTAGAAGTGATGGTGACTATTCGCTGATGACCAGGTGGTAGCTCAGTATGTTCCGCAGCGAACAAGCGAACGGGCTTGTCATCTGCAAAATGGGGTTTGTCAGTTTCAAACATCTGAACAATATTTTCTCGACAGCAGATGGAAGCGTTCGCCATAGACAGAAAATCCCAGCCTAATATAAGCTGGTTGGCACACGAACTAAGCACGGCAAATTGCACAAAATGCAGAAGGCCAGCTATGAAAACTCGAGCGGTGCACATAGCGGCAGGTCTAATGGCGTCCCCTTGAGCAGCGAGCAGTGTAGGTTCATCATAAAAGGTGGTGACTTTCCGCAGACGTGACCACAAATAACGATCCATCACAGACAAACAAGCACCAGTGTCTATTAAAGCGTCCACGTACACACCTTCTATTAAGACAGATATTGTATTATATGGATGCACTGAAGGAATTTCTGTCTTTTCGTTCGATGCAGCTTTTCCCCCAAAAGCTGCAGAGGTTAGTTTTGCGGGCGTTGGTTGGTGAATTGCAAGACACGTCGCAATGGAGACGTGGAGCGGCGGAGGGTGATGGTGAGTGGCGTCTAAGAGAGCAGTAAGAAGGGGTTGGCTGAGATTTCGCAGTTGGAGACGGTGAGCGACGTACTGGCGGATCATACGGACGACATTGAAAAGCGGACCCGCTTGTCCCATCATCCTGTCCGTAGGGGTCTAATCCACGACGCTCGTCCTGCTAACGCTTCCGACAGAAGCGTGCAATGTGGCTCCGGTAGTCACAGTAATAACAGATCGGACGAGATGGCCGTCATGGTGGGTGAAAAGGCTGGCGAGGCGCACTAGGAGTTAACGAAGACAGTGAAACAGGCTTCGAGTGTGCGGGCATTGGTTGTACGACGGGTGGTAAACCAACGAGGACTTGTGCGTACGTCAGCTGGGGTCGAGGTACCAGAGAGTGTACATACGCTGGCCCGGTCATGGACGCCAACTGCTCTTTGATAACGTCGCGCAAAGCAGCGTTGGAGGGGGGAGGTGGACTGGGTGCCGTTGAGAGGCCGAAAAATTGCAGTTCTTCCCGTATAATTGCCCAGATCATAGCACACAATAAGGCATCAGTCGTGATGGTGCTTTCAGCACTGTCCGGCGGTAACCGTTGGAACTCAAGTTCCTCTAGGCGTTGGCATGTGGCAACAACGTCAGCGACTGTGGCCGGGGTTTGTATGACCGAGGCATCCCTTTCAATAGATGACGAACTTTCTCTGGTTCAGACATAGACGTGCTGAAACAGTGACAGAGAGCAAGCATGGCCTCTATGTACGAGATGTAAGACTCACCGCATTGTTGCTTGCGAGCATCCAGTGTCTTCTTCGCGAGAGTTGAACGAACCACCGGGGTGCTGAAAATTTGGTGAAGCTGTTGCTTGAAATGTGTGCAGTCCGTGATGTCCGTTTCAAGATTGATATACCATGTTTTCTCTACGCCTGTCAGATAAAACGAAACACGGCGAAGATTGGTAGAATCAACCCAGTTGTTAGTGGAACTCGCTCGATTGAACTGGTCCAACCAATCTTCCACATCTTCACCTCAAGTTCGGCGAACGTGGGTGGCTCACGGTGGTGCTTGGTAATAAACCACGATGAATAGGCTGCGGTAGTCGGGGCCGTGAATGTAGATGCAGAAGCGCTGGTTGGCTCGTCCTGAGGCTCGTTACCGGACACCTGGCACAGATGACGACCTTAGCGGAGCTTCAGGAGGTAGAGCGGGCTGGGAGAGGAAGGAAGATCGCAGAGCGCACTCCACCACTTGTGATGCAACGGAGAAGGCAATCTTAACTAGGCCCAGAAGACACGATGCAGCGAGCACACCCAAGGCAAAGAACTGAGGCAAGCCAAGTGCCCACAGCAGATGAAGGTGACGATCACTCATGGTGATGAACATTGATTGATTGATTTGTGGGGTTTAACGTCCCAAAACCACTAGTTTGATTATGAGAGACGCCGTAGTGGAGGGATCCGGAAATTTCGACCACCTGGGGTTCTTTAACGTGCACCCAAATCTGAGTACACGGGCCTACAACATTTCGGCCTCCATCGGAAATGCAGCCGCCACAGCCGGGATTTGATCCAGGTGATGAACATGTGTGAAGAAAGTATCTGTGCTTAATGAATGCCTACAATACTCAATAGTGTAAGCGCATATATATCAGACAAGTCATCATAAAACCTCTGCATATTTTCACCAGTCGCAAGTGTAGGTAGACGGCTATCAAAAAAATTAGGCACTAAAAGCTGAAGATATGGGGCTGCTCCTACAATCAATTTGATATTTTTTGAGTTAATGTGTGCATTCCTCAATAAACTTTACCTTTTGCAAATAAGAGATTGACGGTGCCCAGCAGCTGGTCATTAGTATTGAATATGAACGCGGTTGTTATTTAGAAAGAAATGGTGCGTCTTTGTTGACTGCCCGACTTGTGAACATGAAGTTGAGCAGCAAGTCCATTGGATAAATTGTGAATTTACTAGCAGCTGAACGGGTTCTGGTGTGGTGTAGTAATCAGAAGTTAGCGAGGTTAGGAATCAGGAGGTAGCAAATTTGGATCCTCTACGTGGTTGTCTTATTGTTCTTCTCATTCATTGCGTCAGTGCGCCCTAAACACCTTATTTAAATGATAAATTATTTACGGCGACGAAGCGCACAGTTCGAGCCCTGTAAACGTGTTTTGGGCTGTGTACTCACCACCTACCTGTGATATGCTGCTCCAACATCTGTGTACGCAGTGCGATATTCGGCCAATAATCTGGCATGGCACTGGACGCTGGAAACTAATAGCGCTGAGTTTTCCAGCAGAAATAATATAGAAAAATTATTGGCCTTACTGATTCACTTTTTTGTGTATCCTTATTTTATGTGTAAAGGAGCGAGACACCGCCGAAGAAGCTGCCAACTATTCAAGCTCATCAGAAAGCATGTGTGCCAAAATCATGGACACAAGGAAAGAAAAGGACATCAACCAATGCGCCTTTCTTGTGCAGGATTATTTGGCTCTTCTTTTTTACGCTTTAGGTAACGTTTTTGTGTCTAATTTTTGCTGTATTTTTTGCAGTAGCAACCACCTCATAACAGCACCTCAAATACCGCAATAGTATGGTTCACCACAGCTTTATTAATTTCTCATGGCACGAGTGGGATGGTGGACGAAAAGGCGGATTACACTGGTCAGTAGGCCCAATGCAATGCCAACAGATCAGCCTCAGTAAGGGTTACCGGCAGACCAGCACCAGTCGGATGCTGCCAGGAGGCCAGCACCGGCTGGCCACCACCAGCAGGCAGGCACCAGTAGACCATTACCAAAAGTACAGCAACAGCTTGTATAATGTATTCTCTCAGACCGCCAGACTGTGCTCCTAGCACCCCTCAGCCTGCAGAGCAAAAGTTCTCGCCAGACTGAAACTCAAGCTTGAATGTATGTCTGGCAATGAAACGCGTCGTGTTCGTATCAGTTCAGTAAGTATAATCAGTGAATAGACATGAACCCCGTGTTCCAGTCGATACTGCTCACTTATTACAAGTATGAAGTAGTATTTCGCAATGACTTAGGTGTGGCAGCGATGATCACCTATAACCTGGCTCTTTTTTAATCATTATTAAATAGTTTACCTTCAATGCCACAACTACGGTTATTGAAAACAAATGGGTCACTAAAAAGCACGACCAAAGCAGCAATTCAAAGCTGAATGTTTCGCAGAAGTCTGACTGGTTTCGATACTAACTGAAGGAACAATCCCGCCGCAAGAAAAGTATATTTCATGAAATGTTCCAACATTTTGAATGCCGGGCCTGCTGCTTTTTTTTGAGAGTGAGAGGGACAGAGGTAGGAGGCGCTTATACATTGTTCTTTGCCACGCATGAGAGGATCGCCGTGACCCGTCTAAGCTATGGCTGTAGACGGAGGGCGATGTCTTAGTGGAGCAGTTTGGTCAGTTTGGTTTCTGCTGAATGCGCCAGGATTCGAAGTGGATTCGCCGGTGAGGGCTCCTTTCATTTGCCAGAATCACCGTCTCGTGGGGTCGTAAGTAATATTATAACCACTGGCAGTGTTCTGACTACTGCACTTGCTTCGCTGTTCAATTGACAAAGGTTGTTCTCGTGATGCCGTAATCTTTCATCAAAATTATTTCTTACCCTTATGTAAGAAGAGGGGCAGTCCGCGCACGTTATTCGGTTCACGAGTAGAGCATTTTCCACAGGTGTGCAATTATCGGGCCTAGATATGAGCGTGCCAATGAAAGGTCATTGCTTGTGGGTTAGGCCAAACACTGCATTTCCCGGTATAGGGACTATAGCTTCTCAGATGCCGGCGATATAGTGAATCGTCGACACGTGGTTTCGTTGTGGCCAACTTAAGGCAAACTATAATATATATATATATATATATATATATAATAATATATATATATATATATATATATATATATATATATATATATATATATATATATATATATATATATATATATATATATATTATATATATATATATATATATATATATATATATATATATATATATATATATATATATATATATATATATGTAGAGCTTTCTTATTACTTCAAATTTAACACACAATTCGCAATCACAGCGCGCATTCGAGACATGTAGTGAGGTTACGGCTGGTGCTAGGACGTACAAGCATCTGATAAATAAAACCGGACACTGTGTTCCACCAACTGCACAATTTATTTCGAAGTACTCCTGGCAGGTGGCGGTAGTGACTAGAAAATACCTAACCCAAGAAACCTAGGTTGTAGATATAGTCGAACGCATGACATCAAACATATAGACATGAGTTGGCAGTGCCTTAGTTTGATGTTCAATGCAAAATACTCCCAAGTTATTCGTCTGGGTCTGGAAAGCAATCACTTGTAAATACGTCCCGTACCGGTAGACCGGCAGCATACTCATTGAACTTTTCCAGGCAACTGGTTGGAACATTGTCAGAGTCTTTTGCCCATAGTTCGTAACCTGGAATAGAATGCAAGGTATATATTACAGTCACGAAATACGACAAACATTTTTCTTAAGCACAAACCTATTTTATTCAAGACAAAGTGTAACGATGGCTGCTTATGAAAAAAAAAGAATTCTTTTGTGTATCGTTTTGGTTTTAACTTACCAGTTATTCATGTATTTGTAGCATACACAATGATAAAAACTCAAGCATATTTAGCGATTCATCATCTTAGAATATATTGCGTTAATCGTGAAGGAGAACAACGAATATTTCAAAGTGTACAAAGACCTGATATGCAAGAAGACGCTTCAGAATTCACAAAACACGCCTTACAATAACCAGGTATGTACAAAACACAATGTGTTCAATTTGTTCTCGCTGCATTGTACAATCATTTAGATTGTCCGTACCTTCGACCGGTAGCACTAAATCCAAAAGCTCTGTTTCCAGCTGATGCTTTTCAATCATACTGCGATCTGTTCATCACCCATTACTGGAGTTACCTATATATTCATGAGTTCATTATGCCAACAAGCTTGAGAAGCAAGCACAATAAACATTTGGCGTTAAATTTATTGCGTATATAGCGTTAGGCGTGTTATCAATTCGAACTTTCATATGTAACTATTTAGGAAAGAAATTATGAGTAACGACTTTTACACGCGTGCATAAAAATGCCAAACTTAACAATCAATAGCGAGTAGAATGCACCTATTTTTGTCTACTAAATACGTTTCTTCTAAGTTCGAAGAAAAAAGCTTAGTATTTTGATGTCCCTGTTGTGATAACCGGACTGCATATTGCAGTTTTGGTGGATTAAGCTGAGAGGTTTCTTCGGCAAACGAAGCTTTTTTATATACATGGCTAGTGTTTTTACAGCGATGTCTGAAATAGCATCCAGAAGCAGAGTAGATAACAATATTTAGATCACATTCGCTCGCAAAGGTTATCTTACGTTTTTTAGTACAGGTCAACAGCTTTAGCTATAGGAATCTTTAGTGTGATTGTCATCGTTGATACGAGTCTACGGATAAAGATATGACAAAGCTTCAAATGACACTAAAAGAGTTACACGAACCATATTCATGTGCACTCCTTTTAGATGCCGTCTACAACACGTCCACAAAATTCTGAATAAGTATATCATTATTCTGTGTTTGTCGCAAATAAGAAACTCATGGACATTTCTCTATATTAGGCAAAAAGAAAAACATATAGTAGGGAGCTCATCAAGTTATCTAGTAACTTAATTTTTCAAACACTCAAAGTGAATCCTTCAGGAAAAAAGCGCGATACCTTCATGAGAGCATTGTGTTACAGTTTCTGGTAGGAATGGAAGTCACTGGAATTACGTACCTCCCTCAGTTCCGTCTGCGCCAACAGCGTAGACCACATAGCAATTCTCGTCAGAAAATACGAGGACGTCTGTGAAATTTAGTCCATCTACAAGCGGAGATGAAAATAATGCATAGGCTTAACTCTAATAAGCTTGTGAAAGTGTTTCAAAATAGATACAGTAAAACATTGTGAAAGTTAATTATTGAACTTATACATTATATAATATTACGTTGGCTCAAACCTTCAACCTTGAAACAACTTATCTAGTTTCTTAGCAATTGAGTCGCTGAGGTTGTGGATTACTGTTTATTTGAATACGTTCCTGTTTTTTAAAACCCTTGAAGTGTTGACCAACGTTGATCCAAACCATTACGGCGAGTGTGAGACGCTCTTATTATACCTGTGGCGGTTAGGTAGCACGAGATATAATTATGAGCCAGAAACTAATTAATGTTGTATACAATAAGGCTTAAAGGGTCAAATTTGTGGAAACGTGACCCTCGCTAATATTGTGTGAAAAATCTCATTGCTTGAAAACATACAAAAGTGATTTCCATACTCGGTGACCTAATCTGCAGTTCGTGTAATCTTGTGTGATTGTCAAACATAAAATAGGCAATTTTAAAAGAGAAAAAAATGCAATGCCATTCAGCTTATCCCAGGAAACTGAATTATTCCCAGTTTGTGTCACAATATGTGTCACAATTTATAGCCTGCCAGTGTCATGGCGGGGCGCATGTAGTAGAAGCCATTACGCCGTGTTCGAGCAATGGGGCGCCCGTGTCCAAAGCTAGTGCTCGAACACGCAGTGAGAAGGGCTGTTTCAAGGAGAGTCGGTTTTCAAAAAGCTGGGAGCTGGATGTGTAGTTTAGAGCAGGGTATGTAGGGTGGTTGATCTTTGCAGTTATCTTCAAAAATATGTAAAATACAGGTACAATCTTTCTATATGTAGCGACCATTCATCTGAGTATGCGTAGAGGCTTTCCACGTGACTTGTACGAAAAGCTCCCGTAGAAGGGCGAATGCCTACTTGGTGGACAGAGTCCAGCAATTTTAATGCCGTTGGTGGTGCGGACTGGTACACTATCGCCCTGTAGTCTAGATGCGTGCGGATAAGGCTTTTGTAGAGGCTCATCACACAATTTCTGCCGCTCCCACAACTTGTACGGAACAGCACCTTTAGGGTGTCCATTGTTTCATGCATTTCTCCTTAATTTACTTAAAGTGTGTTATAAACGTGAGCTTCGTGTCTAGAATTATGCCTAAATTTTTTTTTCACAATTGAAAGTTACGCGCTCACCCTGCAACTATATACGGGGATCAGGGTAGAGGCCTCTCTTCCTAGAAAACAGATCGCAGGAGCTATTTAGTGGGTCCAGACTGAAACCGTTCTCATCTGCCCATTTACAGACCTTGTTAACACAGAGCTGAACCTGTTGTCCGCATGCCGAGAGATTACAGGATTTAAAACCTATCTGCAGATCATCAGCGTATGCTGAATAAAAGATGTTACGCGGGATGCACGATCGCAGGGAGTTCATTTTGACTACAAAGATAGTACAACTGAGGACACCACCCTGCGGTACTCCCGTTTCTTGCACAAATGGTCGTGACAACGCGTTGTCCATTCGAACACGAAATGTACGATTGGACAGATAATTTTCACTTACACTCAGCATATTACCTCGTATACCTAATTGTGCGAGGTCTCTCAGTATTCCAAAACGCCACGTTGTATCGTTTGCCTTACCTATGTCAAGGAAGAAAGATAGGAAAAACTGCTTTTAAATGAAAGCTTCGCGTATTTGCGCCTCTACGCGGATGAAATGGTCTGTGGTGGATCGACCCTCTCGGAATCCGCACTGATATTGGTCGAGGAGTTTGTTTGATTCCAAAAATGTAATATTCGACAGTTTATCATCTCTTCAAATAAATTTCTGACGCAGCTAGTCGGAGCGATAGGTCTGTCTCTCGATACGAAAGATGGATCCTTGCCCTTTTTAAGAATAGGTATTACTATGGCCTCTTTCCACGCAGAGGAAATCTCGCCAAAACGCCATATGGAGTTACACGGACGGAGGAGGGTTTTATATGTTTCTTGAAGTAAGTGTTTAAGCATCTGATATAAAACACTATCAGAGCCCGGGGCTGATTTGTTACAGCCGTTTAGCGCTGCTTGCAAATCAGCCAAGCGAAAAAGTCTGTTGTATGGCTCCTTTTTTTTTCCATTCACGTTCAAGTATTTGCCTTTCTACTCTCTCTTTGTATCATTTGAATGTATCAAAATAATGCGATCAGCTGGACACATGTTGAAAGTATGCTCCCAGGGAGTCTACTTGATCCTCAAAGGCTGTTACCCTATGTGTCTACAAGAGGGAGTGAGTATGTCTGTCGGCCTTCTATCACATTCACCCTGTTCCAGATCTTAACTTCATCAGTATAGGAATTAATTCCTGACAAAACCTTCTGCCAACTTTCTCTACGAGCCTGTCGGCGCGTCCTTCGCCCTTGAGACTTCACTTGTTTGAAATAGATCAGATTCCCTACAGTTGGATAGCCTCACGAATTGCTCTTCGAGTCACCCAACAAAGGGGTGTGGGCATTAAATTCGCCAAGGACGATATATGGTTCAGGTATTTGATCAATAAAAGACTGAAATTCTTGTTTCTGCAGCTGATAATGAAGAGAAATGTACATTGAGCAAATTGTAACAAGTTTCCCTAGGACAACAGCACGAATGGCCACTGCTTCGAGGGCCGTTTGTATTTGCAAATCTCGACAAGCTATGCATTTGTCTATAATAATAGCAACGCCACCTTATGATGTGATTGCATTATCTTGATATTTGCGGAAGTTGATGTGGTCTCTAAGGAAATTCGTGTGATTTGGTTTCAAGTGTGTTTCTTGTACATACAGCATTTTCGGTGAGTGTTTGTGTAAAAGTTTTTGGACATTGCCGAGGTTTCTAAGCAGTCCTCTGACGTTCCATTGTATAATTTGTGCTTTCATATTGGGTGCAGAGTAGTGCTGTGTGTACGAATTGGAAGTGACTTACTTTACAGAGCCTTTAGGGGGCCCTGTAATTGGTGTTTTTTTCTTGAAGCGCTCAAGGGTCTCTCGCTGCTCTTTCAGCGCAGTCTGCACCAGTGGGTCAGTGGTGTCCATCGCCTCTGGAGAGGCGCCAGACAGACGTGTACGTTAGGTCGGATTTGTGTTGGTGGTCAAAGCCTTCGCCCCCACCTTGCCAGAGGTCTAGGAGACCTCTTTATTTTGTGTGTTGGCTGGATGCTGCCAGGGTTCACATAGGCCTTTGGTAAGGCCGTGTTCAAAGAGGGCGGAGCAGCCAGGGCTGCTTCTCCAGTGGGGTTTGCTCGCGGTGTCCTTGGCACGCCAGGCGCCGTCCGGGGCTTCGCCGAAAACCGCAGTGGTGATGACCCCCCTTGCACCACTTCGGCGAATGACTTCAGTAGAAAAGTGTGCGATGCGCGCTGTCGGGCTTCCCTGAAACTGACATTTTCTTGGAATTTAATTGTGAGAATTTCTTTTTGTCTTTTCCAGGCTGGGCATGAGCGAGAATAAGCGGGATGGTCAACATCACAGTTCGCGCAATGGGCCTCAGCCTCAGACTTACAGTCATCAGCAGAGTGCCCTGTGGTGGCGCACCTTGCTCGCGTGAGCTGCCCTCGACAGCTTTGGGAAGCATGGCAAAATCGTTGGCACTTGAAACAATGTTTCGGATATGGTATATATGGTCAAACACGGAGCATGAGATAGCCTGTAGCGACTGTTTCTGGGAGTGTGTTTGCTCCAAACATCAGTACAATGTCTTTTGTGGGGAGTTTTGCATTATGCCGCCTAATTTTAATGCGCCGCACATGTATGACATTCTCTGTTTTCTAGCCGTCCAAAAGTTCTTCTTGCCCCGCCGCGGTGGTCTAGTGGCTAAGGTACTCGGCTGCTGATCCGCAGGTCGCGGGTTCAAATCCCGGCTGCGGCGGCTGCATTTCCGATGGAGGCGGAAATGTTGAGGCCCGTGTGCTCAGATTTGGGTGCACGTTAAAGAACCCCAGGTGGTCAAAATTTCCGGAGCCCTCCACTACGGCGTCTCTCATAATCATAAGGTGGTTTTGGGACGTTAAACTCCACAAATCAATCAAAAGTTCTTCGTCGGTAAGGTCTACAAGAGCTTCATCTGATGCGACACCTTTCACTGTGTTCAATGTCTGGTGAGCGGTAACGGTGAGAGGTTTGTCCCCAAATGCAACAAGGTTGCTTAGTTTCTGATACTGAATTTTGTCTTTGACTTCTATTAGCAGGTCCCCACTGGCCATCCTGGTGGCTTTGTAGCCAGTGCCGATGGTATCAGTGAGGCATCTGCAAACTAGAAACGGTGATATGTTTGTTGCTTTTTTTCCTGTCGTTTCACAATGTATGACAGAATATTTTGGGAACAAGTCATGATTCTTCATTACACTCGAGATGATGATAATGTGCAGTGTCTTTTAGCTTAAAGACCAAATGAAAACTGTGAGGCTGCTTCGGTGCGCCCCCTTTTCTGGGACAATCACTTAGGAAGGGGCCTGTGATCCCATGAAAGAAAGTGTTTAGTTCGGTAACGGCGCCTACCACTCACCACTGAGCCCAACTAGGGAACGTGGCAGAGCATGTGAACACGTCTGCGCAACGCCAGTAGTACGCCGTGACTTTAACCTAATATGGTTTAACCTAGGTTGATTGAGCACACAAAGTTAACACTTGCTGCCAGGAAATTTGGAAGTATTTGGAAAAGAGAAGATGACGGGACAAATGAAAAGTGGGAGATAAAGACGAAAATATAAGGAGAGAGAGATAGGAAAAGGCGACTGCCAATTTCCCCTGGGTGAGTCAGCCCAGGGGTGCCATCTAGGTGAAGCCGGGAACGAAGGGGTGTGTCGCCTCGGCCGGAAGCCTTAAAGGTCCAATCACCCAGCCTCAGCTCAACCCCCAGGATCGCCTTCTCCCAGGACACGGCTCAGCCACGCACGGCTAGGCGTAGGAGGGAGTCGAACCTCCCTCCCGTTAGCTCCCAGTAAGCTCGGGTCCGTGGTGTCGCTACATACCAAACGTCTGGTTTCACAGGCCCCCCAGCGGAGGCCGGAGAAATTGTGCTACGCTTTTTGCGAGTCCACACAAGGTGAAAACCATTACAGACTGCTGTGATTGTGAACAAGACAGATTTTAGACAGCGTTTCTTTGTTGATAAAATATTTATATTGCTTAGTGCACTAGCAGGACATTTCTGTTAACTATGCTATTGTTTTTGAGGGCAAAAATCAGACAAAGCTCGGTAATGTTGCAGCAAATATAGGAGAAAGTGCTTGTGCTCTTCTATTGTGATAAAACAGCACGTGAATAAAATATTTTTGCATACAAATATAGCTTGCAGTCCTTACAAGGGTGTATTTTATAGCTTTTTCTACTGCGAATATCCGCAGAAGTGCCTTTCGACCCACAGTGATTCTAACAACGCTTGTGATATCAAGTTTTGTTCGAGTGACTTCACATAACAAGAGAACAGAGCAAGTCCCCATCAATTCAGAGGAAGTAGCAGTGTTCTTGTAGCTAGCACTGGAATAATTATTCCACCCACACAAAACGCACGCCTGAGATCTTCCAGCTTCATGTAGTCAACGGTAAGTAAATGTTTAACATTTTCGATTTACGCTTTGTGCATCCCAAAATAACATGCACTGGTACAGAAGGAATAACAGCAAAACTTACGTTCCGTAACGTAGAAGATGGCGTTATCTTTATTGTAGTCGTACATTGTAAGAGTAGTTGCCTTTTCTTGAGAACCTTGGCTGAAAGTTTTGTAGAAAAAGGGCGCAGGTTTATCTGCAGGCTCAGTTTCATGCAACAAAATTGAGGATACAATATTATAAACGGTTTTTTGCGAGGATATAGTTTATTCAACCATATCAATAAAGCCAACCAGTCGCATGAGACAGTTTCGCACATAAAAACGAGGAATAAAATTAGCTGTGTGTTGTCACAGAAGCGTATATATTGCCAGTATGGCCCGCTTTTGTATAGTGTTGAACGCGTTGTGTAAATAACAGTATAGTGGGGTTGCAAGTTATTTGCCTGAGTAGTTTCTTTGCTTTTCTGAAAATTCACGGTGTATCCCGATCTCCGAATACTATCATTATACAGTTTTGGTGCCGTTTTACGTAAGACGGCTCTTGAATATCCATAATCCTAGGATAGTACGCATAGTCAGCATGTGAAAACTGATCAAGACAAGTTCTTGTGGAAACAATATATGCACTCTAAAACTGAGACAAAGCTTAAAAATCCACCAAACTGTCTTGTTGACATTTAAAAGCTTTATCCAGATAATCCATCTATTCGGTGCTATGAATGTAGACAGGAGGGTATTTCTTGTAGTAAAAGCGTTTGCGTTACTGATTGATATGTGGGGTTTAACGTCCCAAAACCAAGCGTTTGCGTTACTCAGTTGGACACTTTTACCTTACGATATTACAGTTTGTGCTCACATCTTAACTGAAAACGTTCAAAACGCAAGATTCGCTACAAGGTTAGCTTGTTCGAGGTTTATACCATAGGCCCAGAAGAACAAGTACCATATACGTTTAAGTGATGCACACTCAGTGAAGCTTAAAAGTGCGAAAATCTGTCAGCTGTGATGAAGCGTCGAGGTTCTTTGAGTTGTAGCTTTTCTCAAACGAAGGCAATTCCCGATGTATTGTCTTATTTCTCTCAGTAAATAGAAATAATTGCTAACTAAATCTCCGCAAAACCACTATATATATATATATATATATATATATATATATATATATATATATATATATATATATATATATATATAAACCAATATTGAACAGCAAACATGGGCATGAACATGAAAAAGAGCATGGGCAGACGCGAAAAAGTCGAGGTCATTTCTAATAAACATCAGCTTTCTTCATGCATACAGGTTGAAATGGTCGGCCAGCACGTTGGTGTCTATGCGGTTTTTTCGGCCCCACACGGGTGAGCCTCGTTCTCACAGAGGAGCTGTCCCGTAACGAGAAGCGAAGTTCGATGCCAGGTAAGGCATCGTTATAAGTTTCTGGAATGTGTGCGGGGGAATTCTGGCCGACGGCTTTCCGGCGGTTCATTGTGATAGATGCGGCCGCCGCCCTGTGCTAGACAGCACCATAATTTCCTACAAGCACAGAGCCAAAAGCCAGCTTTTATACCTGCGCCCAACAATATATATATATATATATATATATATATATATATATATATATATATATATATATATATATATATATATACATATATATATATATATATGCTAATGAGCTATACGTACTTGGGAAGAGAAGAAACACACTGTGAACTTGTTCGCAAACCCTGACGAAGACTGCTCCACCGGTCGAAACCGCTGGTAATAAAATTGAGACCCACTAAATTGTGTTTCTTGTGTTATATATATATATATATATATATATATATATATATATATATATAGTGGGCACTCATTATGCGCTTCTCATATATGCATTATCATAATCATCATCATCTGTCTGGGTCCCTGTCCTCTTCTTCACAATCGTCATCGTGTCCGTGCGCGCTTGGTCTCCGACTGCCGGTTCGCTGCTGAGCACTTGGCTGAATAAAAGCTGTCTCAACTCAAACTTCATACATGGCAGAGTTGGAATACGTGGTGGAGGTGGATTTTCAGTCCTCGGTCCTCTCCCACCTCGCTCAACTTCCTGGAGCTGTGTTCAAGTCGCCGATTGCCCTCCCTGTCTGGCAGCATGTCACAGAACGAGCCTGCCGGCGCTGCTGCCATCACTGCTGCCATCTCTCCTCCGCCGTCTTCAGCCGCGCCTCCTTTTACGTACACAGCCACCACGGTGTGATCCCCGTCTCTTCGCTGGTCGTCGCGGGTAAGACGTTGAGAACTGGCTGGATGTGTACAGCCGGGTGAGTGTTTCTAATCGCTGGGACGATTTCGCCAAGCTCCGTTACGTCACTTTCTACTTGACTGGTGTGGCGAAGGCGTGGTACTTAAACCACATCATCGACATACCCGACTGGGCAACCTTCGAGCAGCAGCTCCGTCACGTTTTCGGCAAACCGGCCATTCGGTCCGCTGTCGCGAAGAGAACCCTGGGTACTCGCCAACAACATTCCGTTGAGTCATACACGTCGTACACCGAGGACGTTCTTGCGCTCGGCCGGCGGGCCAATTCATCTATGCCGGAGTCAAACAAAGTACGCCACATTTTGAAGGGTATAGGACATGTTGCCATCAATGCCCTGGTTGCTCAGAACCCAGCTACCATAGCCGACGTCGTCACGACATGTCAGCGCCTCGATACTCTGGACTCGGTTCGTCTACAACCAGACATAGGCGAACAGACCTCTCCGTGTCCTGATAAGAGACATAATACGTGAAGAGTTGTAGAACATAGGTTTCACACCTCTCCACCGTGTTCTCCACCGTCTACTGGAGCGGCATTACGTGAAATTATCAGAAAGGAACTGACATCTCTGAACTCTCCGTCTTACGTCCTGTCACCCTCGTCTCAGCCCATACAAACCTACGCGCAGGTCGCTGCTATGCCTCTGAGCGAGGTAAACACGACGTTGCCGCTGCCATCGTACACGTCGGTCACTGCCGCTTCTCCTCTCAACTTTCGTTCGATGCCGTCTGATCCTTCCTCTGCACACCTGACCGCACTCTCTTCAGGTACTCCACATTGTTTCTACCCTTCCCCCTGCCGCTCATCTCGCCCAGTTTGCTATTACTGTGAGTATCACGGCCACATGTCTCGTTTCTACCGCAAGTGCCAGCAAGACGAGCGCCGCGGTTACGACTTGCGTGAACGAGATACTAAGGTCAACATAATTCATCACCTATACACCAGTGTCCCTCTCCACCCGTATGTTGCGCACCTCGGAACAGCCGGAACTCCAGACGCCATTCACCATCACCCCTTCGCCGCTCCTCCTCCCCACTTCAGCCTGCCTCATTCGTCACTGCCAGTCATTCAGAAAACTAAGTGATGAAGTTTCTGGGGGAAAAACTGCATTCCGAATTAGGACTGATATTCCTCCACCAGGCCCATGCAACATGATTTCAGTGGTAGTGGAAGGACTGTATGTGGATGCTCTGGTGGACACGGGTGTGGCATTTTCTGTTATGCGTGTTGATTTAGGCCAACGTCTGAAAAAAGTGATGACCCCTTTCGATGGAGCCACGTTGGTTGCTGCCCAGGGGTATACCATTTGCCCTTCCGCTTTCTGTACAGCCCCCGTTTTTATTGATGGTATCCGACACCACATGCAAATCGCCGTCCTGACTGACTACTCTTACTAATTAATTTTAGGGTGAGATTTTTTTGTTTTGCCTCCGCGGCTAATTGCTGTGACCAACGCGTCGTCCACCTCACCGGCACGGACTGCATGCTCAACGACTACCCTTAGAGGCCACTTCGTTTGACAGCTGCGGAAGATACCGAATTACCACCAGGTCAAGAGCGAATTGTAACTATTACCTCCAAGGACATCGACCATGGCGACATCTTGGTCTCACAATCATTTGGTTGCGTCGGTAAAGGCATCATTCTCGCTTCCGGTGTAGTTTCGTTTCTTAATGATTCCACACTTGTCACCGCTGTGAATACAACATACCAAAAAATTGTACTTCCCCAGAACACCACGGTGGCCTGCGTGGCAGATCCCGAGCCCGCGTGCGTCGTGCAACTTCATGCCGTCTCCTCCAACGACAGCCCTAGGGGTGAGCCTGCTTCTTTTTCCACCTTTAGTGGAGCCATTAGCGACGACTTGACACCTTAACAGACGCAACAGCTACTTGTTTTGTTAAAGAAACATGCAAGGTCCTTCGATGTTTGCACCTCGACGTTTGGCCGAGCTACTACTAAAACGCATCGAATCAACACAGTCGGAACATCTGTTGTACGCCGCAAGCCCTACCACGTGTCACCTGCTGAGAGAAAACGTAGAAACGTAGAATCGAAGAAAACGTAGCTGACATGCTCAAATGAGAGGTAATTCGCCATTCATCTAGCCCTTGGTCGTCGCCTGTGGTTCTGGTTCGCAAGAAGGATGGCTCCGTGCGCTTTTGCGTCGATTACAGGGCGCTCATCAAGATCACTCGCAAGGATCTGCACCCAATGCCTCACATTGACGACGCCCTTGATCCTCTACGAGGCGCGAAATACTTTTCCAGCCTCGACCTGCGTTCCGGTTACTGACAAACTCATATGAACGAAGAGGATAAAGAGGAAACGGCATTCGCTACCCCCGAGGGGCTATACAACATCAACGTTATGCCTTTCGGGCTGGCGAACGCTCCCGCTACATTTGAGCGCATGATGAATACCGTGCTGCGCAGCCTTAACAGGAAAACCTGTCTCTGCTACTTGACGACATCGTCATTTTTCCATCAACGTTCCCTCAGCATCTGCAATGTTTGGATGACGTTCTGACGTGCCTTGCCGCTGCTGGTCTCCAACTCAACACCAAAAAATGCCTTTTCGCCACAAAAGCTATCAATGTTTAGGGCCGCGTCGTAGGCAAAGACGGAATTCGGCTGGATCCGGACAAAAGTGCGGCGTTGCTTAACTTTCCGCGCCCCGAAAGTCCGAAGAAGTTGCGAAGTTTTTTTGGTCTTTCCTCCTATTTTCGCCGTTTTATACGAAACTTCGCATCAATAGCAGCTCCACTGCAGCAGCTTCTTGCTTCCAACGTGCCCCTTCTGCGCTCGCAAGAATGTCAAATGGCATTCGACCCATTAAAGTGTGCTTTCACGTCCGAACCTGTACTCCACCACTTGGATGAGGCCGCAGCAACCATCCTACATACGGATGCTAGCAGCCGATGTATAGGTGGCAATCTGCTCCAACGCGACACCTCTTCACAAGAGACAGTAGTTGCGAATGCCAGTAGAGTACAAACCGTAACCGAGAAGAACTATACCATAACTGAGCAGGACTGCTTGGCTGTGGTCTGGGCAGAGCAGAAGTTTCGTCCCTATCTCCACGGCCGTCATTTTACGATCGTTACATACCACCACGCCCTATGCTGGCTTTCTACATTGAAGAACTTGTCTGGACGCTTGGGTCGGTGGTCTCTACGTTTACAGGAGTACGACTTTGATATCGTTTACAAGTCAAGTAGAAAACACCAAGACGCCGACGCCCTTTCACGCTGCCCGCTACCAAATACCCAGCTCAGCATCGGTCAGTTCGGCCATCACTTCTAGTGCAGCGCCCGCGTTAGCCTCAATAGATCAGCTATCATCGGACAACAACTGCACACTTCACTCCTGCCAGTTGTCTGATCCGTACTGTAGGCGTATTATGAACCAGCTCTCAGGAACTTCCCATCCACCTAAAGCACGGCATCGTCGTCCACTCTTGCGATTTAAGTTTGAGAATGGAGTTCTGTACCGTCACATCTACCACCCTGATAGTCAACGCTGGGTTCCCGTGTTACCACACTTTCTTCGACTTGACGTGCTTAAAGCCTTCCACGATGATGTGGCTGCCGGACATCTTGGTATTCAAAAAACTCATGATTCAGGGTCGCTTCTACTGGCCCGTTATTTCTACTAGCATCGCGCACTACGTCGGTTCCTGTGTCCCGTATTAGCGTCATAAAATCCAGACAACTGCACCGGCCGGGCCTCTACAGCCAATTCCGTGCCCCACAACGCCATTTGAGGTTAGGTATCGACCTTTACGTCCCTCTTCCCGTCCCATGTACTGGCAAACGATAGATAGCGACCGCTGTACACCACTTGACACGCTACGCGGAGACAACGTCTGTATCTACTGCCTCTGCATCGAAAGTTGCTGACTTCATTCGGCACGCCATCATTCTGCGCCACGGTGCCCCTCGTGTATTGCTGAGTGACCGTAGGAAGGGTGTTCCTGTCAGGAGTACTAAATGAAGTATTGCGCACCTCAGGAATAACACACAAGACAGCTTCAAGCTACCATCCTCAGACCAATGGTCTCAACGAGAGGTTTCACCGTACTCTTGCTGATATGATAGTGGTCTACATCAGTCCAGATCACGAAAACTGGGATACTCTCCTACCATTCCTCAACTTTTCTTACAACACGGCCGTTCAGCGCACCACCGGTTATTCGCCGTTCTACCTCGTTGATGGACGTTCCCCTACTTTCTTCCTCGACGTTTCCTTTTTCAACAGTGACGTGAACTCGTCTCCGTCTTCCAGCGAGGAATACGATTCGAAACTAGCTCGGTGTCACGATCGTGCTCGCATGAGCACGGAACCGCAGCAGCAAGATCGAAAAGTCATTTATGACGCATCCCATCGCCTTGTACTCTTTCGACCTTGTGGGTGCTCCTGTTCACACCTATTTGTACACCTGGTCGGTGTGACAAGTTTCAGCCACACTTCATTGAGCATTGTATAGTTATCGAACAGACTTCGCTCGTTAATTATCATGTGATCCCAGTTATGGTCCCTGTAGATCGCCGTCACCGCTCCACAGAGATCGTGCGCGTGTCTCGCATGACGCCCTTCAGGCGACGGTCTCTGCCACATTCAACAGCGCCCTGTGTCCAAGGGCTACGAGGCAAGTGCTTTTTAATGTAGCAACTGCAGCAGCAACCTCTATGGAGAGGTTGCGCTACGATATGCCTGGGCATATTACATGGTGAAAACGGACATTTCTTGAAGAACCTAGTAACGATTTATGAGTGAAAAGTGGTTCCCTACCGACGAACATTGCAGGTTGGAATGATATGTTGTCGGTTGGGTAACAGAAAAGGTTGTCTTCTTAGAGAGTCTAATTGTTCACACTGAAACTTAAGTGAATAAAAAAATATTACCCGAGAGGAGGCTCCCAGGAGCCCTATGAGTGTCTTCCTGCGACAGGGGTGGGAACCAGTGGGTCTTTTTTGCATCGTAGGCTTCCTACGGGCCCTTCTTTGATTTATCAATGCAGTGCTGCAGATCTTTTTGTAAAATAATGCCTCGAGGACGTGGTGTTTCATTTTGTTACGTAAACAGAGACACCACTACATTAGGTGCTGCAATTCACCAATCGACCACACTCTAGGGCAGTCGGGAGAAATGTGTGCATACAAGACTACGTAGGCAAAGGATCGAAGCAACTACGTTCGCTGTAGGTGAAGGGTGTTTTCAAGATTTTCATTGAAATATTCGTATACATTTTGTATTTATCTTTTGTCCAAGCGGCAAAAAATGATAACATAGACACTGGCCAACGTGTCATCGTTGGGACGCCTAAAGCTATCCTCCCATGCAAGGGCGTGTGGCCCTGTAAGGTGAAAAAAATTGAAGTGTTTGAAGACTTCGGTGGCTATGTTGCTTCTATATTGCCAGCCCCGGCACGGTGGTCTAGTGGCCAAAGTACTTGTCTGCTGACCCACAGGTCGCGGGTTCAAATCTGGCTGAATCAACTGCACCTTCAATGGACGCAAATATGCTGTAGGCGCACGTGCTCAGATTTGGGTGCTTGTAAAAAAACAACCCAACGTGGTCGAAATTTCCGGAGCTCTCCACTACAGCGTCTCTCATACACATATGGAGGTTTCGGGATGTTAATCTTCACATGCCACGCATGTTTCTTATTTTAAATATCGTGTTTTTTTCAGATTTCACCCAAAAGCCTTACTGAATGCTCAGCCTATACTGCCCTCAAACCTCTAAGAAAGTTCGCGATCATTGTATATTATTTTCATGATTGCGCATAAGCGCAAACACTGGAGATCTATTTATCACTTGCGCGGAGGCCAGTGATACGGCTGGAATTTCAGCGACACATGCAAAAACAGCAGCCCGTTTCGCCCCTTGTCAGTTTATCGACGGCAAATATCTGTTAGCTACGATTAGTGTCGGTGTGCTGCTGTCACCTAACTTTACTAATATTGGCTACAAGTATGGCCGAACAAACAGTTTCATCGGAACATCCAGGCTGCTAGATTCGTCTACGTGACGAACACGTGACAATAATGTGTTGACTTTTCCGCATATAAAATAGAAAAGAAAGTTGTACTTACTAATTTGAATCAGCATCATTAATAAACATAAACCATGCGTCAACGCTCTTCTCATCCTCATCGAAGCTGTCAAATACAGCATATACACATCTGAAGTTATTTCCCCACACTGGGTCATTGTTATAGGTCACTTTTATCATGTCGTAAGCATCCGAAACACTGTTTTTGAGATGCTGAAAAATGAAATATATGTAAGTATACTGCAGCTCAGACAGAACTATCCTAATTTCTGGTACGTTACTTAATAGTTCATTATGCAATCTCATCAAGGTTCAATTTTTCAGGGTCTGCCTACATCCCCTCAATTGGGGTCTCAAGATGACAAAATAGAATGCAATTTACAGTCTAATTCAAATGGCCAAATACATAATTGAATCATTCCATACGAGTGTTCACCACCGCCCTCGACGGTGGCGGCAAAAGAGTCGAGCGCATAATTTTCTTATAACAATGGCAATCAGATTTCTTCCATATGTTACTACATGCTGTGGTGTCACATGATTAAATGATCGCGTATATTCAATTTAAAAACATCAGTTCTGGGAACTTGTATAGAGTATTGTTGGGCGTCAGAAGCTAGTGCAACGATGGAAAAGACGGAGAAGAAGATGACATAATCGAACAGGCTTCGTAGACAAATGCAAGGGAACAACTTTCTGAAGTTTTCTTGCACAATGGTTTTACGAATATCATGAGTGTCTAATACTTACACGAAAGACGGAAGCATTTATTTACGTATGTCATGTTTCAGTAAATTCTCATCATTTAAAGAATGTTTTGAGGTTACATGCATCCACGAAAAAAAAAAGAACTGTGACGCCTCCTCTATGCAGCCATGAGACACAACACGTCGTTTAGGCCATCTCAGCCTCGGAACTTCACGCTGGAGCTAACGTCATTAGCGTATACCATTCGAGGTACTCTTTATTTGCGGGAGATTCAGCCCATTTTCGCCATAAATAGTCTGCAGTACTCATGCTTGCTAGTGGCACACCATGGCAAAAAGGTGATCAATTCAGTATACAGAAAATATGAATCGTCTGGTATGAACCATCTTAAGAAGGAAGTTAAAAGAGGCATGTAATACGTTTGAGACGTGCTTATTGCATCGTCAAGCGTGATTTGCAAGAAAATCTAATCAACTGTGGGTTAATATTTCATTTTTATATATGTTAGTTTCGTTTGAGCGATGTCATCTGCATTATATAATGAAGAAAGTTTTGTGACAGATGTAATTGATAACGAACCACTAACCACGTTTCAAGTGTGATTTGCATGAATATCTAGAAAACTGCGTACGAATATATTACTCATGCTATTATTGTTGTTTTGAGTAATGCTGCTTACTTTCTGTATATAAATAATGATATCTATCATGATCTATACACACTAATACATTTTACATCAGTGACTGCCCTAGTGAATTTTTATTTGGTGCAAACGAAATCGAGGAAGCCGCAGCACTCGTGTGAAAAAGTTCTGTTCCCGAAAGCACAAGATGACGTCACTGACAACGCCTCCAGTCATGATTAGTCTGCTCTTTAGAGCAAGAATTTCCCGAAATGAACGTGCAAGCACTATTCAGACGCAATTGTCCAGAGAAACAGTATTGGCAGCAGGCGCCTTGCCATACGATGACACTGCAGGCGAAGGCAAACTGACGCTAATGGTACCGCGTACTTTTCTACAGAAGCGTAGATTACAGTGTAACATCCATTGCAGCCAATCAGTCGTGTTGTTAAGACATGATTTTATATTTTTGTTAGCGCAATACCTAAGAAACCTAAAAATAAAAATAAGTTGTATGCATACAAATATATTGCTCGTTAAGAATATTACAGGATACCTTATTCAGGCTTTTCACCGGATGTTTTGGCAATAAAGAAAGAAAACAACAAGCATAATATTACGCTACCAGTGCATAAAGTACACGTCTCTGCATTTAGTACACATGTAAACAATTTATAATGAATAATTAATTCGGATCACAAAGTACAAGTCACTAAAAGAACAAGCGTTGGCATACGAAAAAAAATTATTTCTGGTGGAAGTTGTCGGAAATAGACCGGCCTTGCCTACCCCTTAACCGACTCAAGTACTAAGTCCAGTGATGATCGTTTGAAAACTATCTGAGAGCGCATAATAAGCGGTGTGTTGATTTTTGGTGCTGTGATGAGTTATATTGTGTCGTTACAACGAAAACTACATTCACTGTCTGTCACGCTGACATCAAAAAAATATATCCTTGTCATATATTTCTTCATGCAAAAACATCACAACCAGAGCGAATTATTTTACCTTCAATGCATCTTGGTGTGCTCCATTTGCTGCTTCATCCGCCCAAACTGGCATATCGCCCTTAACTTGGCTTAGAGCTGAAACGAAGGCAAGAGAGACTGCAAGAAGCTTCATGTTGACTTCCTTCGAGGTTCAGTCGGTGGATGGAGTGTTTAGGGACTAGAAGCTTCCATATTTATACACGGCGCTGTAGAGGATTAACAATGAGGAAACATGAGGACATCATCACGTCAATCGATTACCGACAAGGGACTATTTTTGGACTTGTTCGCTGGTCGAATGTTTCGTATGATAGTACAAGTGACAAGAGAAGCATGCTGAAGTCATTATTCATTATTCTTTTTTACAATCGGCCACCCTGACAATTCATGGTTCTAACGTTCTTCCTTTTGGAAAATAGCTCTTTAAGGACACGTCATGCGATACGTGTCTACGCACAGACATATGACTAAACATCAGAACTTAGACTTTGTGTGTCTTAAATTTAGATCAAGCGGTCCTTTATTTTAAACATATTCTAAATGTTATTAGCAGAATAAATACATGTGGCAGGCCAAATTCAGTGAAAATATTGCTGTCAATAATGCAATTTTTCCACTGAAGTAACATAGAGCATCCTAATTTCATAACTTTGTGCTTTCAAATTTATAAGGGACATTGCGCAGACATCGCAAAAAAGGGGTTTCGAATGAAGGAGCTTAACTGGTATAACTGTCCGTTATGCGCAAGAATAAACAGAAAGGAAAAAAGGACAAGCGCTTGACCTCTCTTCCTTCCTGTTTGTTCGTGCGCTTGAACGAAAAGTTATACTCTGAATATCCAAATAGCCCAACTTTCGATTTAGTTGCAAGAAGCTTAACGTTTTGCTGCAGCAACATTGCTTCGAGAAAAAAGATTGCATAGGGCAAAGCGCAAATGGTCTGTATTAACACCATCTTTACACACCATGCAGAACATAATCAGCTCGGAAAAAATAGTGCATAACTCTGAAGGTATTCTTGAGGATTGGGTAAACCACTGGTCTACAACCATGACATCTGCAAAGGGCAACGAATGTGAAATACATCATCAGTCTACTTATAAGCCTCACTACACCCACTGCAGTTCAAGCGCTTCTCCCTTCTCCTGTCCAGTCAACTCGGTCCTGAGCATGCAGCACATCCTACCCGCACATGTCATATCTTTGGTCCACGCAAGTTTCTGTCTCCCCTTCACATTCTCTGGGAATCTAGTTCATGAAGACCAGTGGTTTTCCGCCCTATTTGCTACGTGCCTGGGCCATGCACATTTCTTTTATATTTCAGCTATGATGTCCCTAACCCTAGTTCCCTCACCCACCCTGATATCTTCTTGTCTCTTAAGGTTACACATATCAAGTTCCTGTCCGTATTTCGCTGTGTCGCCTTCAATCTGAGCTGAACCCTTCTTGTAAACCTGCAGGTTTTTGCTCTGTAGTCAAGTATTGGCAAGATGCCGCTGTTATGCACTTCTATCTTGAGGAATATTGGCAATCTACCAGTCATGCTTATAGAATGCTTTACGAATGTGCTGCACCCAATTGTTATTCTTCTAGCTACTTCTATCTCGCCGTTCGACTGCAAGGTTTCTACCTGTCGTTTGTAGACGTACTCTTTTACAAGTCCAAATGCACTGCTACCTATCTCAAAGCGCCATTCTCTTCCGAGGATTATGTATAGTACTTTCACTTTGTTCGAATTTATTTTAGAACCTGCCTTTCTGCTCTCCTTTCTAAATTAATTGACCTCGAATTGTTATTTGTCCCCCGAGTTACTCAGCAATTCAATGTCGTCGGCAAACAACAGGTTACTAAGATACTCTCCAATACTTCGATTCTCTAACTTTTGCCTTTGTAATGTCTCTGAGAACCTCCTTTTAACACGCAGTGAATAGCATTCGGGAGGCCATGTCTTCCCGTCTTTCATCCTTCTTCACCTGTAGTCTGTCGGTTTCGATGTGGAGCACATCGGTGGCAACTGACTGTCTGTAAATTTTTTTTTCAAGATGTTTTTGTATGTTTCATCGACACCCTGAATCCTCAGTGTCTCCATGACAGCTGATATCTCTACTGAATAAAATGATTTCTCGTAATCTATGAATGATACGTATAGTGGTGGAGAGTATTCTCAGCGTTCCTCTAGAACTGTATACACAATCTGCTGTTGCCGCTTCGCGCGACCTGAAGTTTGGTGCAGGGAGCAGCTTGTTCTGCATTGCTCTTTTACCTCTGCTTCCTGAGCTCTCACTTCAGGGCTTGCTTGCTGTATACGTACACTTTGACTACCGTATGCCACACTCTGTCTTCGGAGTAGCAAGGCGTTGGCGTTGCCGCTTCGCTTTTCAGGTGTGAGAGCTTTTTTAAGATCGCTATCATTCATGACAAAAAAAAAACTGCTTGCTCTGTAAAGTCTTATGCGTCAGCGTCATCGACATTTCCTGTATTGGGCACCTTGCATGAGGTTCGCTGGATAACGGAAAACAAACAGCGCACCAGTCTAGAGCCTAAGGTGCTGTGTACATAAAAATAGCGAACACTAAATATCACACGCCCGCCATACTTCTATCTTCACCATTCTCCCCTACTTCCAATAAAGCTTCCTCAAATGAAATCTTCTGTTTATTTACTTTTTATTCTTTATTCATCGGACACCCCGCCGCGCCCGAAGGCATTCTGGCAGAGAGCTTACATCAATGAGCGAATTACATACTTTTGCGCTCACAAATACAACTTTGTTCACATAGGAATAATTGAAATACACCTTTTTTCGCACGCACAGTAGCATTGTTTTCTCAAAGAAATACACCATCGATCAGGTTACAGTTCAAGTTTACAGCACTGAATAAAATAAATCTTCATTCACAATATGAACTTGCTTTTCAATTAGTATATATCAATGTTTATTTTTTCGAAAAAAAATAAACATTAAGATACGCTAGCAGAAAAGCAAGTTCATACTGGGAATGAAAATGTATTTTATTCAGCTTCATTTCTATTATGAACTTGCTCTTCAGTTAGCGTACTTTAAATGTTTATTTTGTCGGGAAAAAAGAATGGGCATACACTTTCCTTTCAGATGAGTATTTCATGATTTTACAACTGTGGCTAAAGCGTTTTGAAATACAATGAGGTTTGTAAAGGCAAAACTTTCTGCAGTTTTAGTTTAATATAGTAAAGTGTATAGAGAAATTTTCTTTTCTATTTTTCTTGCGGTTCTAGCTCAGCTTTCATTGCAGTGCAGCTCTCCCTCCTTTCGTACCGTGTCAAGACAAACCCGGCGACTCAATTTTGTATTTGCTCAGGGGCCGCAATGAAGTTACCTCGGTGGCGTCCCACATGACGCCAATGTATTTCAAGATAGGTCTGAAGTAAGTGGGTATGCCACACGTTTTAAATTCGGCATGACAACTTCAGAAGTTTCTTTGAATGAGATTTATACCTTACCAGCTTTGGCAATGCAGTGCCGGCGTCTACGACAATTAGGACTATAGTAGAACACCTATGTACTTGTATACATCATCGTGTTTTGTCTCTAAATTTTAAGGTGGTACCATGACAGAAATGATTTGATCCAATTTGTAAAAAATATATATATACGCACTTTGTTATGTTAAAACCTTTTTCCACCTCATACAACAGCTACAAATGAGTGATAACTATTGATGAACTGCTCCTACATCCGTGTGAGTTGAAATAATTTGTACACGACACTTTGGTCAGAGATCAACATTATTGAAGATCATATTCTTGCTCAAATAGCATTACCATAAATTAAAAATATAGCAGACTCAGAACAGAGCCCTGTGGTACCCCTGAGGTGAAATCTGCGTATTCGGAGCTTTTTGTCTACATTACTACGGTTTGTCTTCTTTGAGAAAGGTAGCAGTCCAAAGAATTTTGAATCAGTCTAATCAATACCTAAGGTGGTAAGGTAAAACAGTAAGAGTGAGTGAGCGTGACACCATGTCAAAGGCGTTACAAAAATCTAGAAACACACCGTTAAACTATCCTACATTACCATCCTCTGATATCACATCCTGATAATATTCTACTAATTGTCTCGTGCAAGACAGTCCTCTTCGATATTCACGCTGTTTGTCGATGAGTACCTTTTCATGTTTAAATTATTTATTATTTGCTCATATGTAACGTGTTAAAGTATTTTACAAGTAATAGACGCAAGCGATATTAGTCTATTTTTACCAATGTTCTTTTTTGAATCATAATCATTTATTGGTAACACGTGCACAATCTTCCAGTCATGTTGTAAGATACTTTCACAAAAGATATTTCGAAAATTGCATGCAGGTACATAAAAATTGGCCCCGCACAACGCTTAAGTATACGCGGAGAACTCTTGACTTGACCACTAGATTTACTTTCATCAGCGTCCTTCAATAGTTTTTATGATAGATTAGAACTAAGCTCGACAGAAAGCGTGGGCGAAATGCTCCTAGCAGTTGCACGCTAGCTACAGCTGTGTTTAGGTAAAAATACCGATTGTAAAAAGTTGCCTAGGCATGCAGCTTTGCCTCCATGACTAGCATGACTAGCTATGACTAGCTAGTGACTGCTAGTCATAGCTAGTCATAGCTATGACTAGCTATGACATAGCTATGAACGCTATGACTAGCAGTTCTAGCGTATGTGCCTGTGGTAATCACTCTATTTTTTGTTTACAGCATAGAAATAGTTTTTTTCATCTGATGAAAGTACGCGTGCTTTCTATATGCACGATGTCTCGTGCATATGGTGGGCCTTCACCGTTGCTATCTTTGCTACCTTCCACTCTCAATAAAGATTCAGCATAAGAGGTATTGTTCCTTGCTTCTTGAAAACGCAGCTTTCGTTTCGCTACCTTTTATACACGAGTAGAACGGTGTTTCATAGAGCATGCAAGAAAACACTGCATCGTGAACGCGATTGGTGTGGTTGTGCGTTCTAAAGCACATTGCTAAAGAAAGCCACATGGTGCATTAGAAAGAATGCTGTGGGCGTGTTTTACTGCCTACCGTCTTCGCTACGCGTTTCATACCATGGCGCCCGTCTTGATCATGTAAGCTGAAGAATGAATGGTGTTTGCGACTTCTTTGTTTGTTTAACCTTTTAACTTTCTATTAGCCGCACCGAAAACCAGTTATCAA